TTAAAGGACAGCAGACAGCAACGTACAAGATTTGGGTCATTGACAATAGACAAGCAACTACACCATGATGTTGAACTGAGCTTGCATGGCTGTAGCAGCAAAATGTTAAACAACCAATAGCTACACTTGTAATGTTAGCTAAGTTATGAGGTTAGCAACCTGTTACATGTTGTAGACGGGGAGTGGCGGCTGGTATACGGTAGAATTTTTCAGTTCAGGTCGAGACATTACTGTAATTACTCCTTCTGTTCTCGCACCCAACAACACAACAAGACTATATTTTAAGACTTCTATGTCGCCTTCTACCATGTGGCGGCGATTTGTGTTTCCCTCTAGTTTAGCTTTGTTTTGCCTCCAGCTAATACTGTGACATCATTGTGATGTAGGCCCTAAAAGGGTCTATAAATGACCCAATATCTGACGTTTAGGACTTTGATTTTTGTTGATGCGGTATCAAACAGCTATCCATATTGTTTGATTCTTGCTAGATATGATGCGCTTGTATCATGACGCTAACTTCGTGTTACACAACATTAAAAACTCTCGTGCACTTCAAATTGAATAATGCTAATGAATTTAAAGGCAGGGTAGGTAATTTTTTAAAACTAGCATGATTTTGATAGTAGCATTCCCTCGGTGCTCTGTCCCCAATCCCCCCACTAAAACGTTCATGGATACAGTACCAGGACTTTCCTCTGGTTGGGACTTGCACATAGTTCAAAACTTTTTAATACTTTTTGACACTTTAATTTCTTTTTAAAGATTTACATTTTAGAGACAGGACGTAGATAGAGTCAGACATGGGAAAGGAGCCACAGGTCCGATTTGAACCCGGGCTGTTTGCTTGGAGAACTAAAGTCTCCGTACATGGGATACACATACAATAACCTCAACGCTACCAGCGCCCCAACACTTTTCTGATACTTTTGATTTATTCTCTTGTGTTTTAAAGATCAACAGCATCAAACAGTACATCATCTAAATCTGTGTAATAAGACAGGTTAGTCGTGGAGGAATATTTGATCTTCACTACCTCTGTATCAACGAGTAAAGCAGTGGCACTGTGACAGCACTGATTTGAAATAAAGAAAGTTAAATATAAAACCCCAGAGAGTCGGAGGAAGTCTGATTACACACCGCTCATGTTACAGACACAGAACATGTTAGAATGAGTTTGTTAATAAATAACTTTACAGTTACAGGATGAACACACAGCTCACACCTAAACAAATACAATGAATAAGTTTGTTCTTAGATTCAGTACTTACACACACAGCTGAAAGAGACGGAGAGTAACAGCAGGATCAGTGCGTCCATGTTTGTGCGCCCATTGAGCTGAATGTGGAGCCGAGGGGAAGTGTGTGTCTGTGGAGTGTGTGTGTGTGTGTTAGGAGGAAAGAGCTGAAGGGAAGTGTGTGTGTGTGTGTGTGTGTGTGTGTGTGTGTGTGTGTGTGTATTAGGAGGAAAGAGCCGAGAAGCAGGACTTCCTTCTATTCAAAGACTCAAAGGGAAAATGAGTCCTCGAGCTGCAAACACTCGACTGTCGGAAATACCAAAGGACATCCCATAATCACACAGACATATAACACACACACACACACACACACACACAATCATACACACAATCATATAACAACACACACAATCACAATCACACACACAATCACATAACAACACACACAATCACACATACAATCACAGACACACAACACAACAACAAACACAAAGTTTCAAAACATATTGTCTGTCTTATTATTATTGCTAAGGATGTTTGGTCGTGCAGGTTTATAAATCTGTGAGATAATAATAATAGTTTATGTAGAAGAACACATAGAAACAAAAAATCCCTTAAGGCCCTGACACACCAAGCAGACGGCAAAGAACTAGTGGCAACAGGGGTGCCTGTGGCGTCGCATCACATCTTGACCAAAAAGTTGCACTAGAACACACCGCAAAGACTACAGCCGACGGCCAACCACCACGTACGTTCTGCATGAGAGAAAATAACTCTTGATGCCAGCAGGGGGCGGTAGTCTGTTGTTATGATACGAGAAGACCATTTTCACACCGCTGTCGGTCTCCTCTCGCGACTGTTGATTTTTGTTTCATTTTGTAACCATGGTGATCTCAAATGAATCCAAATGTTCAGTAAACAAATAAACAAACGCTTTATGAAGAACATCGAATCCAACGCTCCAACTGATGCTGTGCGTGTGTGCGTTTAACCTCTAATGTTAAGGAGGAAGCTCCACCCACAGCAGGAAGTCATGCTGTTTAACCCTGAAACACACACACACACACGGTTGGCTGTGGAACACCAGAAACTGACATTAACACGCACTGATTATCTAAATAACCTGCAGACCGACAAACCATGATCCTCCCCACTCTGACCAATAATCCCCATAACTAGTTTTAATCAGCAGATGTCGAGTCCTTCTGATCTTAACCTAAAGAGACCACTAAAACACTACGGTCCTCATAATGTCACTTTAGACTAGAGTCTCCACATTACCCCTAAACATGAACATGAACACGCACACACACACACAACTCCTTTTTTTATTTTCTTCTCTTGTAGGTACGACTTCTCAACCAGCAGGCTCTCCAGACTGTCGGCACACACACACACACACACACACACACTAATGCTTAAAGAGACAAGTACATCATTTTTTTATGTACTTGTTTTTAGGTACAAACGGGGACTTCTGATTTAGAGTCTGTGAACCTGGACCTGTAGCGTGTCAGCTACAAGTGCTCCGCCTCATCCTGCAGAACATCCATCTGTCGTCAGCGTGTCAGAGGCCACGGTCTGGGCGTTTGTTCAAGGTCCTGCTCTCTGATTGGCTGAGACAGACTTGGAGGTTTCCTGAACATTAGATGAAGAGGAAGAGCTTTATGACCGCTTGTGTGTCTCTGACATTATGAGGACTTTGTTGTTGTTGGCGTGTTAACATTCACACAGATGTGAACCTGCTGCGTCTGCTCACCCTCAAAGACTTTACAGCCCGCACACAAACACTTTAAAAGAGATTTTCACACCGCTGTAAGTCACCCCTCGTATTATAGGTAGCCTACTAATGGAGAATAATGTCTGATAAGAAGTTGAAAATGGCGCTGGCGTTGTCAGCCCTTGGTCTTTAAGTGGAAGAAGAAAAGAAGAGGCGGAGGCGACAAATAAGGAGAAACCGCACTAATGGGTGAAAGCATGGATACTACAGCGGCATGCTCAAAGGGCTTTCCCGAACCTGTGTCGAGAGCTGGAGAGAATGAAACCTCTGAACAGCCAATCAGAGAGATCCCTCTGACCGACTGTCGATTCTACGTCACCAAAAAAAGCGAGCAGCGATGGAGCCGGACACACCGCTTTATTTTTATTTTTTTTCATCCTCCTTTGTTTTTATCTGGAGGCTCACATGAAGTGACGTTTTACGTTTAATTTCGCACTGCATTGTGGGAGTTAAAATACGACTAATTTCCTGAAAGGATGCATCCGAACCTACTACACAAAACCAGGGAGTCAGTATCCATCCTGAAATGTTCAGTATACTGAGGTGGACACAAAAAATTACCACAAGGGTTCAGACTACTGAAAAGTCTCCATACTGAACCGTGGCTATTCAGAAAGGGCACCAACCCCCACCCACTCTGAGGTCTTTCCATCAGTGCAGGTCCACAGGATCCTGTTTGTGCATGTTTGTGTGCAGTATGTTCGACAACAGAGTATATACCTGAATTTCCCCTTGCGGGATTATTAAAGTGTATCTTCTTCTTCTACATGTTGTTCAGAGTAACTGCCCCCCCTCCACCATTCCCCGCCCTCCTTAATAATTTCTCTCCTTTATGAAGTTGATTTTCTTACGTACATTTGTGCGTGCTGCTTGAGTTCAATGAACCATTTAAGATGTTTATTGTTTATTGATTTCTACATATCTCATATCTTTTTATTTTTATGAACAGTACATTGTAAGCCAACCTTTGACCTTTGACGCTGTCCGGGACCAGTCTGCTTCCTGAGATCCAAACACGGAGAAGCATCGTTCAGTGTCTATGCTCCGTATATCTGGACAAACTGCAGGTCAGACTCAGCTGTTTCATCTGCCTTCCATCAAACAACTTTAACACAGATTTTAAAGTAAACTCTGCACTGTAATGAGGGACAAGCAGTTCATCGAAAATTCAATTAAACTGACATTCAGAATCTCTAACCGACGTGATCTTACCCGTGATGCTTATTTTGATTATTTTCAGGGCAGTCACGTGACGACACATCCAATCAGAGACATGGAAGCAACATCCGTCGTTTGGAAACATTTAGTCTTCAGGGAAGACGACGGCAAACGTTAACACTGAGGAAAAACTGTTTTCAAGAAAAGCAAGTTATTTATTTCTGCTGTTTTAGAGTTCTTTTCTACTTTAAAACTATAATGTTTCTTTTTAATTTCAAGCTTTGATTTTAGTTTGAAATATTCAATAAAAACCCACAAAGCAGTTCATCAGATCTGAACTGTCATTAGAAAACATCTCAGCTTTAACAGTGGAGACCTCGTCAATAATCGTTTATTAATCATCAAGGTCAAACATTTAATCGTTTTATTGATGAGATCATATCGCCCGGCCCTAACTGTAACTTTCACGTTTATTTTTTACAGAACTTTTTGTTTTACGATCAAACCTTGCCTTGTGTTATCTTTCTTCGTATATATTTATGCACACTGAAAGTTCATCATTTCTCTTCCTGTCTTCTTTTAAATAATTTTAGTGTTTTCTTCTGTCTTGTTTTCAGAAGCCTCAGTGTCTCATGTCTTGACTGATTGCTTTAACTCTTACGCCTGTAAAGGGTTAACAAAGTGTCACTCTGTAAATGTTTGAAAACCTGAAACTCTGATTAGAGGGAAACTTTACCCGCTGATCCCATGAAGACCTCCGTCTGTCCAGGTGTGATGTGTGGTTTTAGAAACATTTGATGAATGAGACAATAACGAGTCAGAGACGTGTCAGGTTTCTCTTCAGAAAATAATTTAATAACATCTTAAAGGTACATTAATAAAAAAAACAACAGCTGAAGGACGTGTTCTCCTCTTCGTGCTAAAAATCTTTAATCACTTTATGATTTTGACAAAAAGAAAAAAAAAAGACAGATTGCACATGTTTGTAGCATGTTAGCCACGTTAGCCACGTCCTGACTGCAGCTGGATCAGTCTCTGCGGTAGTCTCTCTCTCACTCTTTTTGTTCGGACAAAGCCAAATAGAAAATACTACAGAGAGAGGGGGGGAGGGGGGGTCTCCGGCATCAATAGTGAAAAAGTCTGATTGTGTTTTTATTAAATTAAAGTCTTGTTTTTCCTCCGGAGACAAAGAAAAGACAACGTGCAGATTTTCAGGGGAACATCCTTTAAACACACGGGGGGTGGGGGTGGGGTGTGGGGGGGTCAGACAGTACCCTGAGGTGTCAGACCCCCCCCTCCCCCCTCAGAGAAAATCAAACAAGGAGGAAATGAAACAACTGAAGAACAAAAACAGGAGAGAAGAAATCACTCAGCAGGTGATACTTACGTACATGATGGCGTTTAAAGCAGCTCCAGGTGGGGGCGCTGTCTCACCTCCACCCGCTGACTGATGTGTTAATGAATGAGTCACTGATGCTCTGTCACACACAGAGACGCTAAACTGAGCGGCTCACTGACACTCACGCCCACCTGCTGACACCTGAGTAGCAGCCGCCGCAGACGCTCCGCCCACACCGTTGAAGCTGCACCGCCGCCGCCTTCAGCCGCCTCAAACAGCAGCCGCTGGGAGGGGGGAGAAGAAAAGGGGGGGGGGGGAGAAAGATTGGAGGAGAGGGAGGGGGGAGAGAAAGATTGGAGGAGGGGGTGAGAGCAGATCAACTTGAGTGCACAACACAGTCGTCATGGTGCCAGAATTTTAAACTTTGATTTGATTAAAAAAAAAAAAAAAATCTAATGATGTCAATTCAATTTTCATGAGGATCAATCAGTGAGATGTGTAGTGAGTGAAATAATAAAGTGAGCTTACTATATGATCAGACATTAAGGAAACATGCTATGTTGAAGTGCTGGCTTCTCTGACAATAATGCAGCAGCCAGTATGTCCTCCTAACTTCAGTGTGTGTGTGTGTGTGTGTGTGTGTGTGTGTGTGTGAGTCTTTATTACATCTGTCCACAGGCCAGCACACAGTGGAAGGTTCTGGAGAGCCTGCTGGTAGAGAAGTCGCACCTAGGAGACAGAAAACAGGAAATAAAAGAGAGAGAGGAGGAGAGAGAGTGCAGACAGACGAGGAGGGTTCATGTGAGAGAGACATCAAAACAATATAAACTCAGAAACACACACACACACTCACAGACAATAACACATCACAGCTGATAAAAACCTGCAGGAGAACAAACCAGATTCAGTTACATGAAAGCATCAGAGAACAGCTTGCACCAAACCTCGTTTATGAGAACATTAATAACGTGAATATTTATTTGTGATCGTGTCGAGTGAACGTCCTCACCTCAGATGTCTCCTTCAGCTCTCTCTCCACAGTGATGGCTCTGTGACACACACACACACACACACAGACACACATACAGACACAAACACACAAAGAAACACATGCACATCTCACACACACGCACAAACACACAAAGAAACACACACACACACACACACACACGCAGTGAGCGTCTCTCAACATGTCAGTCAACATTTTTCATAGTTTTTGAAACGTTGCCAACGTTATTGTACCGTTTAAACCACGTTAAAACTTTAATCCTGCTTTTTGTTCATCGTTCTCTAAAAACTTCTGCGTTCATTAGACAACAATCTTGGTAACCTCTCCACCTCAACACGGATCTGCAAAACCGACTGAAAACCGCTGTAGGATACCTGCTCAGGACGGTGAGCACTGATAACTCTTAACCACGCTGCCAGCTAAAAAAAAAAAAGCCCTAAAGAGTTTTCCTGCTTCTGTAGATTTTATTCACTAACGAAAAGCTGCTTCATGGTGGGACTCGTTTCAGCCTCAGCCAGCGCGACGTCCTGATACCTCATGTAGCATTCACTAGACATCAGAAAGGTGAGACACACATTTAAACTCAGACCGTGTGTGTGTGTAGTCAGACTCACATCCTCCAGCTGGACACACACTTTGGAGCGTTGCTGCACAGCATGCGGGCCTGAAACTTCAGCTGCTCCATGTTTTCATCCTTCCACTCCTGCTGCAGCAACCTGAGCAGCAACACAGCAACACTGAGGGCAACGTCACCTGCTGGTACAGCGAGTGTGTGTGTGTGTGTGTGTGTGTGTGTGTGACCTCTGTGTGAGTGTGTGTGTGACCTCTATGTGTGTGTGTGTGTGTGTGTGTGTGTGTACCTCAGGCCCAGCTCAGTGTTGTTGGGCATAGAGTATCTCAGTCTCTCCAGCACCAGTGCATGCTGGGACTGAGGCAGGCAGCTCAGGTAGAGAGAGATCACCTGAGGAGCAGACAAAGGATGACAGATGTGACTCTGGAAACCTTCACACCAAACTCCGTACAAAGAACGAGCATTTACAAATCTGCATCCTGGTGGAGTTAGCCACCTTTTAGTCGGTTTAATGGAGTGACAGGATGCAGAAGAGATGATTGGACAGGGTGAACAGCAGGTTAAGCAGGTGGAGTCTGACCTTGTTGTGGAAGGTGTAGCAGCTCCAGAACTCTGCAGGGTTGAAGGGGACCTGCAGCCTGGAGGGAACGGTGCACAGACAGCGATGGACCAGATCTGAGAACAGTTTGGAGTGACTGTGGGAGGGGCTACGGGCCTGCAGGCTGCTGCTGAACGACAGGTAACTGTACACACACACACACACACGCACGCACGCACGCACGCACGCACGCACGCACGCACGCACGCACGCACGCACGCACGCACGCACGCACGCACGCACGCACGCACGCACGCACGCACACACGCGCGCGCACACACACACACGCACACACACACACACACACACGCACGCACACACACACACACAGTCTGTGAGCTGTCCGGCACGTTAACAGCAGCAGGTAACAGTGAATTGATGAAGATGAACAGACTCACTCCGTCCACAGAGTGTGCAGCTCCTCCAGAGTCAGAGACGATCCCAACGCTCGCTCAAAGGCGTCCTGAGTGTCCTCCTCAGAGCTGTGCAGCCACTGCCAACGACTACACACAAGGATTAAACAGTGATGTAACCGCCATACGGATGTGAACAAACCGCTACAATTACCTGTCAGCCGGCACCACAGCGCTTAAACTGTGTTGTGTTGGATGCTACCTATGAGGTGGAGGTGTGTATGAGGTGGAGGTGTGTATGAGGTGGAGGTGTGTATGAGGTGGAGGTGTATATATGGTGGAGGTGTGTATGAGGTGGAGGAGTGTATACGATGGTGGTGTGTATGTGATGCAGGTGTGTATATGGTGAAGGGGTGTATGAGGTGGAGGTGTGTATGAGGTGTATATGAGGTGGAGGTACAGACCAGTGTATCAGGTGGAGATGGGCAGTCTGCTGGCTCAGCTGCTCCTGAAGCTCTTTGATGATTGGTTCTCTCAGGACGTCCTTGGTGGGAAACCCCAGAATGTGTCTGACACAGAGAGACACAGGAACTCATGTCTTTAATATACACACACGCACACACCCTGTCACGCACACACACCCTGTCTGGGGCAGGACGTACCTGAGCAGGTCCACAGGTGTCTTGTGGCTCTGCTGGTCCTCACACAGAGACAAAATGAAGCCTCTGAACAGAGGAGAGACGGCACTCGACTTCTCCTGACAACAAAATCTCACATGGTCAGTTATGAACACACACGTCATGTAAATATTAAGCTGTGATGTAGCTGAACACCTGAGCTCACCTGTGCCATTAGGAACCTGCAGCAGTGGTAGAAGACCTCAGCGTTGTTGGGACACTCGGCCAGAGCGTGCAGCCACATGCTGACGGCCTCATCAGAGTCTCCTCTCCTGATGTGAAGGTCAGCCAGAGTGTCTCTGAGAGCGCACGAGTCAGGACACGAGCTCAGCAGAGACTGGCACAGAGACACACCTTCATCATACCTGGAGGGAGACAACAAGCACACCTTTACATACACACACCTTCGTCATACCTGGAGGGGGACAACGAGCACACCTTTACATACGCACACCTTCATCATACACACATACACCATTGTCATAATATATTTAAAGACAGAATGAAATGAACATCTCTGCAGAATATATTACAACATCCATCATCAGTTATGTCAGATGACAGGTGTGAGTTGGCTCACCTGTGCAGCAGTGTGTGCAGGAGAATGAGGTTTGTGTGCAGAGGGAGGCAGGCCAGCGTCCGCTCACTCTGAGACACGGATTCCTCGCTGCACTGCCGGACGCCGTCTGAGAGGACAGACGTCACAGGAAGAGACACACCTCTGATTAAAACACAGCCAACACTACAAAATAAAAGCAGGATCAGGAGCAGATGTTTACCCTGAAACAGAGCAATGAGGATGTCGGGCGGCGTGCTGATGTCCTGTGATGTCCTCCAAGGAAGCAGGAAGGACTCTCTGCTGACCAGCCTGGACGGACCCGACTCTGCCGGGTCGTACAGACTCGAGGGCAGACGGTCAAACTCTGTCAGGTGGATAAAAGTGAGCCAGAGTAGAGCTCGGTCTCTGGAGGTCAGATGATCTGCTATACTCCTATCATGAGCAGACTTCAGAGCGCTCTGCAGAGACAGAGAGGGGGGGGGGGGGGGGGGGACAGAGAAAGGGAGAGGAAAGGAAGAGAGAGAGAGACAGAGGGAGAGAGGAAAGGAAGAGAGAGAGACAGAGGGAGACAGAGAGAGAGGAGAGAGAGGAAAGGAAGAGAGAGAGGGACACAGAGAGTGAGAGAGAGAGAGAGAGAGGAGAGAGGAAAGGAAGAGAAAGAGGGACAGAGAGAGAGAGAGACGGAGAGAGAGAGAAAGAGATAGAGAGAGAGAGAGCAAGTATCCAAGTTAATTAATCTGGTATCATGACAGCTGTAAGTCTAAGCACAGCAGCTTGTGTTGTGCAGGTGTTGTCACCTGTAGGATAGCCAGCGCGCTCTCCATGCGTCCAGTGAACAGGTTGAGCTGCACCCTGTAGAGCAGCGCCTCCATCAGGTGAAAGGAGAGAGTGTTCGAGGGTGAAGACGAGGAGGAGACGAGGAACTGCAGCAGACGCTCGCACACAAAGTCCTTCCCCTCAAACGAGCTCTCCAGAGTCAGGTACTGCACGCACACACACACACAATGTGTAATCTCTAAATACAGCGCTGATTCATGATCTAAAACACTATACTCTGTTCTGAACACAGCTGAATGTTCTTCGGGACAAATACATGAATAAATAAATAACGTACGTTCCACCACACTCTGTAGTCGGGTGCGTGCTCCACCGCCATCTCACACATCTCCTGCACCTCCTCCCTGCTGCCCCTCCTGGAGAACAGGAGCAGGTAGTGACTCCACACCTCGGGGTTGTCACAGTTACTCTCCAGAGCTCGAGAGAGCGTGTTCAGAGCAGCTTCCAGACACTCTGCTGCAGACCTGCACCACATTCACTCAGTTAGTGTGCCGTCTTTACACAAGAATCAGAGACATCTCTCGGGTAACTCACGTGTCGCTCTGGTTCAGGTATTTAAAGGCCAGTTTGATCCACAGCTGCGTGTCTCGGGGTTTCTCCAGCACACTCGTCTCCAGGTTTGATATGTCGTCTGTCTCACTGATGAAGTATCGTTTGTCCTCGGAGGTGACGCACACATCCAGAGCTGACAGGCTGCCCCTGACGCAGTCATCTGTACAAACACACAGCACGGTTTAGACAGTTATATCTAAAGGACCATCCAGAAGGTTTAACCCTCTTCACACAAGTTTACAGAAACAGGAAGTCACCGTGTCGTCGAGGGGCTGGGTCTCCTCCTGCTGGCTCATCGTCGCTGTCGTCCTCCGCGATGGAGCTGCTTGGAGCTGAAGGTTTTGGCCTCCACCTCCTCATGTCCTTACAGGTGGTAAAGGGAGGGACTGCAGAGGGAGGAAGAGGAGGAGGTCACAGCTCCATAAACACATCCTCTGACGATGAAGATGAGCGATCACTCACCGTGATGTTTGCTCTCGTTCACTTTGCTAACCAGGAGGACGGCCTTCTGATCCACGCCCATCCGGTCTTTGTTTGATCCAAACAGCTTCTTCATGTACCGCTCTGTGAAACACAAAACATAGGTGATTACACCTGAACGCATCACCTCATCACTGTGTGTTTTAACGTCATGCAAACCTGTGGCTGAGCTGATGTCCTGATCGGAGCTGGTCTCAGAGCAGCCAATCAGCTGCAAGTTATATGACAGGACGTCCTGGAACAGCTGGTTTCCTGTCAGCGTGCAGTTCCTCATGTGCTGCCTGCAGAAAACACACACAAAATCAAAAAGTTTTGAATTCTAGTTTCATGACGACCCTGAAGGACAGAGGAGCATTTATACGGAGAGCGTCCTCTCACCATCTGCAGTGGTCGTCGTTGCAGCTGCCTGTGAGGTCAAAGCGACAGAAGTTCTTGGATGGATCGATGGCGTTGCTGAAGGTCACGGAGCTCAGAGGAAACTTCTCCTTGGTCCTGTAGTACGGACTGAACCTGAGAGACAAAAACCAGGATTTACTTCAAATAGGTCGACATGTATGATTCTATTTATCGACTTTAAGTCTGTTATCTATATTCTCTTCATTTCCTCTTTCTGTTGTAAACACAAGTTTTTTAGATCGTCTCGGTGACCTCCGCTTGTTGTGATCACAGCCTGAGAGGATGAGCCGTCAGGCAAAGCAAACATTCTGAAATAATAATAAAATATTCCCTGTATGACCCCCTCAGGGCCTCCGTAGTCTCCTGTTCAGTTTTAATAAAGCACATTCTCGGACTAAACTATCCTGAAGTCTTTCTAAATAAACTGAAGTGTTGATGTCTACCTGTACGATCTGAAGACCAGCAGCGGGCTATGATACAGTCCGAAGGGAACAGGCCTCAGCTCACTGCTCCCTGATTGGCTGGTAGGTACGTCCATCTCCACAGGAACCACCTGAACAGAGATACAAACATGGATTAACACAAACTGACCACAAACATCACAGATTTCTGCAGGTATAACACAGGTAACCCTATCTGACCTCTGACCCTGTAAAACACAGAGAACATGTGACAGAGGCTCACCTGTCCAGGTGGGGGGTTGTCCACCTGTCCTCCCAGGTCACGCAGCTCTTTGAGCAGCAGCTCCCCGAGTCGGGCCTGCTCCTGGTACCTGAGCTTCACAGCCTCCATGTCCAGACCTGTAAACACCTCTACAGGTGGAGCAGAGCTGCTGGAGCTGCTGCAGGTTTTGGAGGGTTTGGGGGTGCTGCTGTCTTTAGCGGGGGTGGAGCTGGGTGTCTCTAGGTTTGGTTTGGTGAAGGAGCAGCTGGACTGACGGAGGGAGAGTCTGCGGGGGGGTTTCGCAGCAGCAGCAGTGACGGCAGCAGGTGGAGCTGCAGCTGGAGGGGCAGATTCTGTCTCTTGGTCTTCACCCTCGGGGGCGTCCTCACTGTCCAAGGTGAGTTTGTCCTGAGTGAGGTCGTGCAGGGAGGGCTGGGGCAGAGGGAACGGGGACGGAGTGGTGGTTGGGGGTGCGGGCGGGGGGTCAGGAGGGGTGGAGACTCGTGGGGGGGGCTCTGTGAGGACATCAGCCGTGACTCCTCGGTGGTGCAGGGCCTGGGCCGCCTTCAGCTTCTTGATCTTCAGGGCGTACTCTGACTCCAGCTGCTGCAGACGCTGCTTCTGAGCAATCAGCTCCGCAAAGTGATGCTCTGACCCGCGGAGGGTGCCGTCCACACGCTGCAGCTTACCGGGCTGAGGGGACAAATACACACACAGACACACCTGATAAATGACCTAACATCAAGACAAATCAACTTTCTATCAGGAGACTCATTTAACCAACATCCAATGGTTAAAGTCAAACAAAAACACTAGAAACTTGTGCTATTTAGACAGTGTGCAATAAGTTTGCCTTCAATGTTTGATGGATTGTTTCCTCTGTTACACACCTGTCTTATTGAATAGATGTTTTTCTAAATCCTCTAGGTTTCCACTGAGTTGCAGTCAAGGTGTTAGTTAAATTAGAGAGACTTCATTAATCCCTGAGGGAGAGTGTAGTGAATATATAAAGTCCTTTAAACACAGGTGATACTAATGAGTGAATTATTTAATGTTATTTAACATCTTTTAATGTCTGCACAGTGTAATGTAATGCTAATCTTTACCTTTTAATGCTATCATGCTAACACAACTTCAAACGATTAGCTAGCTGCTGAATGTGTTAATTTAGCTAAAACTCAAAACCAGTGGAGTGTAAAGTATGTCCCGTCTAATAATTCACCTTAGCTAACAGTAGATTTGTTATACAGTCAGACTCGATAACCTGTTGTAAAAAGTTGTAAAATGCTAAAATATCAACATGGATCTATTTCACTACCTTTGAATAAATCGTTTAACACGTTTAAACGGTCTAACAGCCGAACAACATGACGATAACGGAAACGACCGAGGTTTGCCGAGGACATTAGCGGTGAGCAGAGACCGTAAGCAGCTACGCTCGGATGATCCAAGTTTCCGACTTCACGTGATTTCACTTCGGGTAGTCGGAATGTTGTAACAACAGCAACAACAACAAAAAAACAGCGTTGATGCTACGAAGAAGATGAGTTAAATGTAACTGTTATATCCTACGTGAATTAATAAAAAGTATGTTAACATTAACAAACAATATTTTGACCCTCAGGTGAGTAAGTGACAATAACTGTTAATAACCATAACTGGGAAGGAAACATTCAGCCATCACCCGATTATTGACTTCAATTAAAAATTTCAACTAGCTCTTCCCACTTTTACAAAAGTAGTCAACATATCTCTGCTATTTAGAAACTTCTCTCCTCCCTCTTTGGTTGTGGGTGCTGTGGTGTTTCTCACCTAGCTGTGGTTAATGGTTTATCACCCGGCTGTGGGAGGTGTTTCTCACCTGGCTATGGCTATGGGAGGTGTTTCTCACCTGGCTATGGCTATGGGAGGTGTTTCTCACCTGGCTGTGGGAGGTGTTTCTCACCTGGCTGTGGGAGGTGTTTCTCACCTGGCTGTGGGAGGTGTTTCTCACCTGGCTATGGCTATGGGAGGTGTTTCTCACCTGGCTGTGGGAGGTGTTTCTCACCTGGCTATGGCTATGGGAGGTGTTTCTCACCTGGCTGTGGGAGGTGTTTCTCACCTGGCTATGGCTGTGGGAGGTGTTTCTCACCTGGCTATGGCTATGGAGGTGTTTCTCACCTGGCTGTGGGAGGTGTTTCTCACCTGGCTATGGCTGTGGGAGGTGTTTCTCACCTGGCTGTGGGAGGTGTTTCTCACCTGGCTATGGGAGGTGTTTCTCACCTGGCTGTGGGTGTCGTCGGCTCTGCGTTTGGGTCCTCGTCCTGCAGCCAGCTGAGCATGAGCCAGCTCCTGCTCCAACCTGACAGCCACACCTTTCTTTATGGACACCCGATGTTCAACGCGGTGCACCTGAGATACATACAGGTAAACGGGTCATACATTGAAGGCGTTTCCCACCTGTCGTTTGGTTCTTTCATCCACACAGAGAGGAAACGATACACTGTGCCTGTGATTATGTGTTATTCTGGAACACCATGTTTTACATATTACATATCAAAACTTTTCTGAAGAGTTTGATTGACAGCAGAAAAGAACAGCAGTAACCAATTGAACATGCTGCTTCATCCTCTCACCTGTTCCTGCAGCTTCTTGAGCAGCAACCTGTTGACGCTGACGATCTTCTCTGACGCCTGCAGCTGCTCTCTGAGTCTGACCACCTTCCCCTCGGCCGCCTTCAGAGACTCCCTCTTTTTCAGCTCCTGCTGCAGGAGGTGTCTGAGCATCGCCTCGTCCCTCTGCAGCAGCTCTCTGAGCGACACAGGGAGGGAGGGGGGGGATCAACTCACAGGGACCTTAAGCCGTTTCACATATGCCCTCCTGAATCTTTCTAGACCATTAGTTATTACTGACCTGTGCTTGTTGAGTTTCTGCTCGGCTTCACTCAGTTTGATTTGTGCTGCAGACTTTAAACATGTATTCATCACAGAGTCCGAGACAGCAGGAAACACTCGACGACTCGGACTGTTATCCTTCAGCATCTTCTGCTTCTCCCTGCTGACAGTACACACACACGTTTTTTTAATGAGCTCTGCCCTCACAGCTGTGTGCTGTGTGATACCTGGATGTGATATTTACCTGGCAATCTCGTCTCTGAGCAGGCGGTACTCTGCCTTCTTGTTTTCGGGAAGAGCGTCTGGCGTTCGGAGCGGGTTGTTCTCCTTCTCTGATCCTGACGCTGCTTTCGGCTTGGTGGCCTGAACGACACAGAAACACAACATGACCAATAACACCATATCTGTGCGGTAGATTCAGTGTTCCAGGTGTTTTTTTTTTAAACAGTGTATAAGTAACATGGACTCACCTCCACCGTCCTGCGAGCCTCTTTGATCATGAACTCAAGGCCTCCAAACGCCACCTGAGATGAGCTGCAGGCGTCCTGGTCTGAGTCACTGTCGTCCGAGTCGATCAGAGAAACGACCACAGACTTGTGTCGAGGAAGCTGGAGAAGACACGACGACGACACAGGTGAGAAACACACACACACCTGCGCCTCCTTAAATCTGCAGATTTTATGAGTTAAGTACCAAAACATCCTGTGCATGAGACACTTTATCTCTACATCTAAAAGTGGGCGGCGTTCCATAAAGCGATGTGACCAGTATACCAGTTAAAATGGACACAAACTATAATGGCCACAAGTGGAGCCATCTCCATCACCCACTTCACACTACTTCTTACAACTGTCCCCATTCTTTAGCGGCCGCTTTAATGAAAGACAACAGGGGGAACAGAGGAGGTGTGCGGCACGACTCTCCTGTGTAAAGAAGAATCTTGCTGTTTTGTTGCGTGTGTGTCCTCCTCACCACCAGGGGCGCTCTGTTGCTGTGGTGTCCTCTGCTGAACTTGTTGGAGCGTGATGGAGGCACCGTGTTCAGACTGACGGTGCTCAGGTTTCCCCTGAGGGGAGGGTGGACTCCTGCAGGAGGAGGACCACCAGGAGAAGGAGGAGCGCTGGAGCTCATCTCCTGCTGAGAGAAGAGAGACATCAGTTTACTACTGCTCCGCCTACTGTACACAAGTGGTACTGCACTCTGCACTTTACTGAGGCGCAGTGTTTGTGACTTAAGCCTCTGCTTATTAAAAAAACCCTGGGGTCAGAACGGACATTAAATGATGTAAACTCACCTCGGTGGCGGGCACTCTCTTATTGGCCATCGACATCAGACATGTCTCCCTCAGCAGCATCTCCTCCTCCTCCTCCTCATCAGCAAACGGAGGTTTGGGAGGAGGCTCAAGCTCCTCGGGGGGGAGGAGGGGGGAGAGGAGGAGGAGGTGGAGGTGTACCTGGCAGTAGCGGGGTGAGGAAGGGCTGAGAGAACTCCTGACGGACAGAACGAGAAGGAGAACCACTTAGGTGTGTTTTTGTTTTCAGCCATCAACAGGTAAACAGAAAATAAACACGACAGGTATCCGTCTCTCGGATGAGACGGGGGGGGCGTACCATTCCGAAGTGATGGGCAGCATTCACATACTGAGACAGCTGAGGGAAACATCCTAAGTCATCAGGGAGCAGCTGAGGGGGCGGAGACGGGACTGAAACACAAACAGCAACAAACAACAACGTCCTCACTCTGTAAATGTAAACCTGATGATCACATTCAGAATAATTCAAATAGAATCAAACTCTACATGATGGATGTGTGTGTGTGTGTTAGCTTGTGCATGTGTGTGTTAGCGTGTCAGCGTGTGTGTATCAGCGTGTGTGTGTGTATAAGCATGTGTGTCAGTGTGTGTATAAGCATGTGTATCAGTGTGTGTGTCAGCATGTGTGTGTGTGTCAGCGTGTGTGAGCGTGCGCGTGCGTGTGTGTGTGTGTGTGTGTGTGTCAGCGTGCATGTGTGTGGCTGAATTCCTCACAGATCAGTCCGAGTGACATGAACCAACACTCACCTGGGGAGCTGGTTTCACTGTCCGTATCCATAGCGACCTCGTCATAGTTGTCATACTGATAAAGGTTCCCTGAGGCGTCCAGACCCTGTTTACCTGCAGACTTCCTGTGGTCTCTGTCTCTGGACTGAAACATGGACACAGACGTTACGCTGCAGCATCATGAACACAACAAGCAGTGATATGACCCTAAAGAGGGATGTATGTCAGCTGGTCTCACCTTGCTGCGTATCTGGCTCCGCCCCCCCACCAGCTTCATGAAGCGGTTGTACTGCTCATCCTGATTGGACAGATCTCGGATCCTGCGGATCTCCTCCTCTCGTTTGCGTCTCTCCTCCTCATCCTGCCGACGTTTCTCCTCCTGCTCCCTCTGCTGCTGCAGCTTCCACGTCCTCAACTGCTGCTTCCTGAACGCCTGCTTCGCCACGGAGCCTGAAACCACAGTCACTCTTTAATAAGTCAGAAACTTTAGGACTCATATCCGAGCCTCTCCTGGTGACGTGACTGAAAAACTAAAGATCAGAGTTTACACTGATGACATCATCATCCTCACCTGGACTGATCACCTTCTTCAAACTGTGAGCTCTCTCTGCTCTCCGCTCTGCTGATCTGAGGACCAGAGCAGGACTGGGTTTAAGACCTGGTTTAGGACTAGGTTTAGGATTGGGTTTAGGACTGGGTTTGGGTCTGTCTCGGTCCCTGTCTGCAGGTCTGGCCCCGCCGGTCTTGTTCCGATCCCTGTCAGGAGGAGGCTTGGACCTGGTTCTGCTTCTCTCTGCAGCAGCAGCAGCAGCAGCAGCAGCAGCAGCAGCAGCAGCAGCAGACGAGGACCTGGTGGAGACTCTCTGCCTGCTGGGAGTTGGTCTGGGTCCTGGTCCTGGAGTCTTGCCTTGGACCGCTCTGGTGATCCGGTCTTTGCTTCTCTTCAACACCTGCTGCTCCTTCTGCTGCCACTTCTTACTGGCTGACTGCAGAGCGAGAAGACGCAGCTGCAGCTCTGAAAGCTCCTCCTCCTCCACTTTCACCCCCACCTGATCAGAGTACACAAACACAGACACACACAGAGTTATATCTAATTATTCTGTTTAATCGTTCTCCTGTCCGTTTATTAACAGAAGTCTGATTCCTCTACGTGGACGCCATGCTCTGACATCAGCTCACCTTGTCAGGAGAGAGGGCGGAGTCTTCGCTTGAGGCCGATGACTCTCTGACACACGCCGCTGTCTTCTTCTTCTTCTCTTTGTCTGTTTCCGGTATGCAGCACATACACGCCGTCACTGTCGTCTTCTTCTTCTTTTCTTTGTCCTTTTCCAGTGTGCAGCTCGGACACGCCACCGCCGCAACCGTCTTCTTCTCTTTGTCTGTTTCCGTTGTGCAGCACACACACGCCGCCACCGTCTTCTTCTCTTCGTCCGTTTCCGGCGTGCAGCTCAGACACGCCGTCTTCTTCTCTTTGTCCGTTTCCGGCGTGCAGCTGGGACACGCCGTCTTCTTCTTGTCGTCCTCCTCAGTCTCTTCTTCATGTCTCTGCTCTCCCTCTGCTCTGTCCTGTCCTCCACTCTCTTCTTCTCCTGCTGACACAAACAGTCCGTTATTTGTTTATTTGCCTAACCCTAACCCGTAAATGCATGTGTGAAACCTCCAGTTACTCACCGTCCTTCTCAGCCCCGCCTTCTGCCTTCTGCTGCTCCGCCCACTTCCTCCTCAGCTCGTCCAGGTCGGAGGGGGTGGGGAGTTTCTGCCGGAGAGGTTTGATGTTGAAAGCCTGAAACACTTTTTTGTCAGCTGTGTCCTCTGCTCCTGCTGGTTCTGGTTCTGGTTCTGGTTTGTTCTCTGGGATCCCTGCTGTGTTGGTGTCTGACGGCTCTCTGGCAGGAGAGCCGTCAGGCTCCAGAGCCATGGTCTCCTCTTTACGGATACACTCCAGCTCCAGTTGGATCTGTTTGTACTTGGACAGCAGGTCCTCAAACGACTCGTCTACACACGAGTCCGCTTTGGAGACACTGTGAGCCGCTTTCCTCACCTGAGGCCTCCCCATAGGCTTCTCTGAGGTCACATGGTCAAGAAGTACAACTTACATTTCATATGGAAACTTAACTTCATTATTTATTACTAAACCAACCACAAGCAGCTGCTACAGCTCTGTCTTCAAACACACCAGACTCCATTAACAAAAACATCAACTTCCCCATGTTCCTCTAATATGTGCCTCTACTCCGTCTACAAACCCCCCAATGATGACAAAAGTCCATCCTCTCCGTCTTCTCCCTGCTCCACTTTTCAGAAAATGTGTGCTCAAACAGGCCGTTTCGAGATTTTCCCTTCATGACATCACAAAGGGCAGTAACCCCTCCCCCAGGTGGGTGACACTCCCACAGCTAGGTGTTTGTTCTGCCCTCTGAGTCTGCCTTCTCACCGTGAAAGCCAGAGACACCCAAGCCCTTCCAGAGAGGGGGCGTGGTCAAACACAGCTCATTTACATTTAAAGGTACAGACACAGAAACAGCCTGTTCTGACAAGGGCTGAAATAGAGGGGTTTATAGACATGATCAAATACAGGATCAGAGTGGATTTAGAACAAGAAACTTCACACATGTTTTGAGGAGCTCTGTTTTGAGGAGGGTATGTGACCTTTAAAGTTCACAGATGAACAACTGTCACCACACTGAGTCATAATCAGTGATGACATCATGAAGGATAAACAGGAAGTTGACCCAGCAGGTCCGAGTGGAAACCTCAAAGCAGTCAGAGTAATTTAAACTTTGATAATATTCTAGTAAAAGTCTGTTTGTTACAACTAAAATAGAAGTCCTAGACACCCACTTTTTTGGTAATTTATTGTTTTTAATTATCAAATATTGCAGACAAACTCCTGCACACTTGTACAGTAGCACTGGCCATGATTTGGTGAGATTTTGCCAATGGGTTAGAACAAGTTAGACGGAGTGCAGGAGTTTGTCTGTGATATTTGATCAACTCTTTCCTCCCCTACTTACAGAAGGGACATTCCGCCATACATTTCATACGGGCTGGAGTACCGACCACTGAGCGAAGAACTCTCTTGGAATGATAGGAATGTATTTTTTAGACCAGAAATGACCCCTTGCACACATTATATTATATCATAGATCTTTGTGTTTGGGTCATTTGGAGCCTCATTGTGCCCTCTTACCTCAGTAACAGGTATATCTACCTGTCTGATCTAGGTGTGACATCACCATGAGCTCTAATGTCCCACAGCACCTGATGACAGGAATCATTTCATCTAATTTAATTTAAGGATACGTTTCCTCAGGGGGGACTCGTTCTTGTTGCCGTGAATCTCTCCGGGCCCGTACCGACCGGGGGGACCTCTCATGTTTCCTCCTCCCCGGGTCCCTCGGTTCCAGTTTCCTCGTCCCCCGTTCGGCATGCCCCGGTGTCTGAACCGGCCCAGGGCCCCGTGGCTCCGCTCCCAGAAGCTGCTCCTCGGGCTCGGCTCTCCGTGAGGTCCCAGCCCTGGCGGAGGGAGCAGCAGCGGCGGAGGTGAGGGAGGCCGGTCGGGCCCGCTCGGCCCGCACTGCTGCCGGTGGTTCGGGAGGAAAGGTCCGCGGTTGTATGGCATGAGGAGGCGAAAATCTGGCGGCGGGAGGGCAGGGTGTAGAGGCAGGCCGTGCGGGTGTTGGTGAGGTTTTCTCGGTCGTGGAGGAGCTCCTCCGCGGGGCCTGTTACCCTCCCCCCGCCGGAGCGGCACACTGTCTTCCGCTTCATCGTCGCAGATCTCCCCGTCCTCCAGCTCGCCCTCCTCCGCGGGATAGCGACTCTTAGAGTTTAAATCCATGGTTTAAAAAATATAAAGAATTACAGTCTCGTATTAAATCGGTGTGCGGTTTGTAAACTCATCTGTCCGGAAACACACAGCTCATTTTCACACTTCATGTACAGTCATCCCACGGTTAGCTCACTGCTAGCTGCTGAGCTGCTAATCTCGTTTAACTCTCGCGATACAACAAGCTTTTTTTTAACCTTTATTAAACACTGTGGCACAACAAACAGACAAAGGCCCCTTTTGGGACGTAGGAACTTTCCCGTTAAACTAGCGACCTTTTGTGGAACTATACATTTCGACCGCAGAAACCAGGGTCAAAATTTAGTTCTGGGGTAATTATTCCAATTATTCTTTAAAAAAAAGACCCTGCTCGGGGGGTAAGTCCTTTCTAAAGGTCCAGGTACCTTCAGGTCAGCACCTGCACTGCTGAATGTATATAGTAGGTCCAGTTCAGACGGCTTTATGCAAAAGAACCATAACCAAACTCAGTCGTCATCACGTCTTTGTACATTCATATTGATCCCGTGAAAAATATTGGTGTCCTATAGTGCTTTCTCACCTGCACTAAACTCCAGATATTTCCAGGAGGAGTTGTTTGTGTGTACGCGAACAGCCGCATTTTTTTTTTACTAAGACTCTGAGCTGATGTGAGAACACAGCAGGATATAATCAGGAGAATTCACCTCGACGTTTATACACTGTGCTTACTGCATAGACTGTCTGCACGCCACCTCTACCATCTCCGTGCTCTAATGAACATGCTGCACTATGTTTCCTGTTCTCCAGTATGTTCTTCTCCACTCTTTAGTTCAGATTGTGATTGTGTTGAATTACACGTAGCATTGATAGAAAGACACATATTCTCATTAGCTTGCTTAATCCGGCACTTCCACGTCTATTATTTTACGTCATGTCTTACCTCAGGAGACCCCGTAGACCACTCAGGTGAAGAGAGAATTGAAGAGGCTAAAGGTAAGAAAGACTGCAGGTCCAGATGGTATCATCTCCAGGCTCCTCAAATCCTGTGCAGACCAGCTCTGTGGGGTTATACATGTTCAACATGAGTCTGAAACTAGGTAGAGTACCACAGCTTTAGAAGACATCCTGTGTGGTACCTGCACCGAAGACTTCCCACCCAAAGGACTTCAACCACTACAGGCTGGTGGCACTTACATCACACACGGCCTGTATCCGAATTGCCAAGTACCTACTCAATCTGTCAGTAGACAGTACCTACTATCCGTGCTGTATACTGTTTAGTACCTACTATTCAGTAGGCAGATATTTGTTCCTACTTCGTCTGATTCATTCAGTATGGAAGTTATGCGAACAGGCCGCATCCACCCGTTTTTTTTGTTTATCTTTATTCAAGAAGAGTAATGCTCATATACTAAACAATATCACAATGTAAATCAAGTAAAAGACAGATTAAATAACTAAATAGCATACAGTACATAAAGAAAAGTACAAATGAAAGACAGTAATATAAAGTAAAATAAACCAATAAAAGATGCATTTAAATAGTGAAATTATTATTTAAATAGAGGAAGAAAGGTTTTATAATAATGCAGATATTTGTTATATTTTCTGTTGTTAATTAAAAGTCGTGATTTCAGTCGGGACTTTAACTCTAGATTAAAAAAATATTCAATTAATCCACGCTTGTTTGTTTTGATTTGGAGGCGGACATGACGTGACGATTTATGTTTAATTTCGCACAGCATTGTAGGTGGTAAAATACAATTCATTTCCTGAAAGCACGCATCCGATCCATACTGCATGAAACCCGGAAGTTAGTATCCATACTGAAATGTTCAGTTTACTGAGGTGGACCCAAAAATGCATCCTGAATGACCACGAGAGTTCAGTATACTGAAACTCCCTACTGAATAGTACGTACTGCCTACTGAACTGTGGCTATTCGGAAAGGGCCCTGATGAAGGCCCTGAAGAGGTTGATCCTTCACCATCTGCGCCCCCTGGCATCGGGGTGGATGATGCTGTCATCCCCTCCTGCAGCGAACTCTCTCACCTCCTACAGAGGACTGGGAGAACTGTGAGGATCCTGTTTTATGATTCCTCTAGTGCTTTCAACACCATACAGCCCATGCTTCTGAGCGACAAGCTGGAACACACAGGAGTCGACCTGTACCTCACATCATGGCTCCTGCATTACCTGACCAACTAGCCACAGTTTGTGAGGAAACGATATGTGTGTCCGACTTGGTTATCTGCAGTACAGGGGACTGTTTTGGCTCCCTTAACTTCCCCCCTCTGCACGGCAGACTTCTTCCACAAAACAACAAACTGTCACCTGCAGAAGTTCTCTGATGACTCTGCCATTGTTGGTCCCATCACTGATGGGGACGAGGGGAGTACAGAGAACTCAACCTGGACTATGTGGACTGGTGCCAGCGGAACTGCCTCCAGATCAACGCGGGTAAAACCAAAGAGCTGCAGTTGGACTATCCCAGGCACAGACTCACTCTTCTAACACCAAGCAAACAATAAGCTTGGCTGGACTATCAACATACTGTATAAGAAAGGCGAGAGCAGACTTCACTTGTTGAGGAGACTCAGGTCCTCCGGAGTGCAGGGGGACCTCCTGAGGACCTTTTACAACTCTGTGGCAGCATCAGTCATCCTGTACGGAGTGGTCTGCTGGAGCAGCAGCATCACGGTAAAGTGACAGGAACAAACGGAACAAGCTGGTGAAGAATGCCAGCTCTGTTCAGGACTGCCCCCTTGACAGTGTGGAGGGGGCAGTCCTGCACCACGACTTGAACCAGCGACCCTCCGGTACCCAACCAAGGTCCCTAGAGACTGAGCTACTGCTGCCCCCATATTAATATTTGGGTTATTTCAACAGCATGCAGGGTTCAATTTCCCAATTTAACATGAAGTGTAAACACAAACAAACAAGTGCAAATGCTGAGCTCACTCAAAAAGTGTTATATTTTTATAAAAACACTCCTAAGCAGGAGTGTTGTCGGTATTTAGGGTTTAAATGTTTATTGGCTTAAATCAAATACAGATTTGTTTTTAATGTCTTATTTTAACTTTATGATGTTTTAAATGCTTATTTATTTTTTTAAGGTTTGGATAATATCGGCTCGTATCCAATCAGAGCTTCAGCATTAATTCACTCAGTCATGAACAAATGTCTTTACGGTTTATTTATTATTTCGTGAGCTCGGAAAACACGCAGTGCGCTTGCGCAAAGCTCTCCGCCGGAAGCTGAGTTGTCAGTTTTGTTTTGGTGGCTGACAGACACGTGAGCTGCTGACGTCACCAGGCAAGAGGCGACATGGCGGCGGACTCTTTGGTCAAGGTAAAAATACATGAAGACATTATTTATCGTGAAGAAAGTCTGTTAAATATGATGTTTATAACTTTAATACGACCTTAATAGCCGCGTCAGTCTGACGTCACTGGTCCGTGTTTCCCAGTTAGTTCACCAGCTAATGAGTTAGCTGAAGTTAGCCGCTAAGCTAACAGAGCAGTAGTCCTAAACACATCATCACATAAGAGCACGAGGACAGAACAACAACAACAACAACAACAACAACAACAACAACATCGAAAACATGACCACAGTGTGATTATATTGTTTGTTCAGATAAAAGAGACCAGCTCGGTCTGGTGGTATGATGAAGTGTTCACGAAGCTAGCTGCTGCTTGTTGTTGACAGTTTGGGCCCAGGGGAGAGAGGAACTATTAAACTTCCTCATCGAGGTTTTAGATTAAAGAACAGACACAATAAACGGATATAAATCATCCTTACAGGTGGACATCAGTCAGTGGAAACTACAGGCTGACGTTAGTAAACGTACTTCCTGTTCCGGTTTGAAAATCAAAATAAAACATTACACCTCTGGAGGAGGAGTTAACCCACCAGCTGATCTTTATATATGTGACGCAGGCCCTGTTTGTTTATCGCCCTGCATCTAAGTTCTCTTAAATGCTGTCTCCTCGCTCCTCGGCCGATCCGGAAGTAGTTTTAGACCCGCCATGTTAAGGATCGTCCTAAAACTCTTATAACTGAACGGAGGAGAGAGGAGGGAGGAGAGAGGAGAGAGGAGAGAGGAGAGAGATCTGAGGAGAGAGATCTGAGGAGCGATGACCGAGGATACACGAGAGCTGCTGACTTTGCGGAAGTCTTTTTACTGACAGGCACGCCCCCTTATCGATTATCACTCATCGTCGGACATTTAAACAGACTGTAAACATCTGTCAGTTTGTAAAGAGTCAGTCTGTGATGAGCTGGGGTTAAAAAAGTGTTTGACATGAGGAGCAACAACGAAATATGAAGCATAAGTTCTATAAAATCAATATAATGGAGAGTAGACCGATCTCTCCTGACTTTATATTTGATTTGTTTTTGATTCACTGTCAAACAAAAAGTCTGTTAGTATGAAGTGTTAAAATCAAATGATCATAAGCGATTCCTTCATAACTTTAACAGGTAGGCCTATATTTATTTTCATGATCAGTCAGACTGTCCGTTTTAATTTATTATATTGAGAATGAACGCCTGACAGCGTGGGAGTCGTCTGTCAGTCAGAAACACGTTTTACATTTATCATTATGTTAAAGAAGTTTCATATCAGACTGATCATTAATGATCTTCGTTTTTGAAAAATGTAATTTTCTCTATTTAGAACTTAATAAATCATTTCCAGTATTACTAGGACATCATAAAATATATTTGTTTATGAAATACAGCGTTCATTATCAAATTATTAGTCAAAAATAAACAATTCAATCTTTTTGTCAGTGAAAATTGTCCTTTTGGTTTGAAGCAGACTGCAGGTTGTTCTTACAGTTGTTTGTTATCAGGTAACATAAAGAGTAAACACTGCTACTGTGTGTATTTTATTAGAAATAATACAGTTCATATTTGTGCAGACATAAACAGCTGTTTAAGTCGACTGACAGCTGAACGTGATCAGCTGATGTCATCATCACAAGCGTCACGTGACGCTACAGAGGAAAGGACGTCTCATGTCTCTTAAAACATACCTCCTCATTTCCTCTCTTCTCTGCTTCGTTTCCTTGCATCTCTCAATGCATCTCTGAGGAGGGACTAAGATGCAAGTGGAGGCAATTAAGGGAACTGGGATGTACCCTCAGACTCACGCAGATTAACAACTCCATTACGTCAATTCCGGTTAGGGCTGCCATGGTTCACAGAGGGAAAGGCTCCGTTCCATTTTGGTTCAACAGCAACAAAAAGTCTCACTAAAATAGAGCTTCTGATGTCCAATCAGTGAGATGTGTAGTGAGTGAAATGATAAAGTGAGCTTACTATATGATCAGACATTAAGGAAACATGCTATGTTGAAGTGCTGGCTTCTCTGACAACAATGCAGCAGCCAGTATGTCCTCCTTCTAACTTTAGAGTCTGGTCCTGAATGCTCTGGATTTGTTTGGACCAGAGAAGGTAGGCGGTTTTAAGGCCCCCCCCTCCACACACACACACACACACACACACACACACACACACACACACACACACACACACACACACACAGCTGTTTTAGACGCCCCTTGGTTTGCCAGATATGAGAGCAGTTATCAGGTCAAACCAACAGGTGTTGCAGTGATGGAAGCGGGCAAGAGAACTGGTTCAGATAGAAGTGATTGTACTCGACCTAAAAAGCCTCTGCATGTTTCTAATAAGCTCCACGAGCAGAAACGTGCTCAAACTAGGATCAATATTGGAGATGCTTTGAAAAATAGAGAGGTTAGAATGCAGAAAGGTTTACAGACCAATGTAGAGCTGGCTAAACACTGAAGCTTCAGTGTTCATCACATGGCAACCTGCGTGAGCATCGACTCTAGAGAGGAGGGGGCGGGGGGAGACAGCTCTCGGCTTGTCTGCAGACAGAAACGCTGTTTTTATTTGATAATATGATGAATGGTTTGAAACATTAGTTACTGTCTCTCTGTCGGTCCTTCAGGTAGTGTTTGAACGTGAAGGAGTTTTTATTCACACCAGCAGTGATGAAGATGGCATCGAGCAGGATTTACTCGTCTCAGGATCACTTCGGATCGTTGACAAGGTAACACAACAGGACTCGGCGTCTCTCTGTAATCAAATCAATCAATCAGATCAAACTGTTACCAAACCGACTACTCTGATCACTGAGCAGCTTGTAGTGGTGCTAGAGATCACAAATCTCACGGTTTGGATCAGATAACAGATTTTTGTCATGGATTAGAAACCCTCACTGCCCTACAGCACCTCCCTCTTCTTCAATGTTTCCAACATATTTGTACAATTCATTCAAGTGTGCGGGAGTTTGTCTGTGATTTTTGATAATTAAAAAGCAACAAATTACCCAATATTTGGTGTCTAGGACTTCTATTTCAGCTGCCGTGGTATAAAACAGGTAAAGATATCATTTGATTTTTATTAGAATCATATCAAAGTTTAAAGGTTTCATAACAACAATCATTTTCTTTTTCTGTTGATAAAATGACGGTTTCCACTCCAAAGGATGTAAATGGTGTCGTTAAACAGTTTGTTTGATAGCCTAAGACCATGGCGCTCTGTGGTTGATGATGTCTGTTTGTCTGTCAGGATGCAGAGATGATGGTGGAGTACAGACCTCTGGAGGACTCCGTCGACTCCACAAACATGCTGTGTGCTGGAAAGGTCCGACTTGTTTTCTGTAACTAAACACGCTGACTAACCATGCCTCTATATTTGATTTTTTAAAATACTTTATTAATCCCTGAGGGAAATTCTGGTTTACACTCCATTATTGAGAGACATGTTTCTCACACAGATAGGCCTGAATCACACACAAGCACAAACAGGACCTGTGGACATGCATTAATGGAAAGATGTCAGAGTGGGGCTACACACTGCTACGCAGAGCAGGTGGGGGTTCGGTGCCTTGCACAAGGGCTTTTCAGCAGTACTTGGGAAGTGCATCTCTTCAGCTACAAGAACAACTTCCAGATTTGTTGTCCGCACCGGGACCTGAACCGGCGACCCTTCAGTTCCCAACCCAAGTCCTTACAGACTGAACTGCTGCGGCTTTATACACATATATCCAAATTAAATCTATACACTAACACACACACACACACACACACACACACACACACACACACACACACACACACACACACACACACACACACACACACACACACACACACACACACACACACACACACACACACACACACACACACACACACACACACACACACGTTTAATGAGATCTGACAGCTGAAAGAAAGACGGGAAACAAAACATGCTGCACAAGCTGCTGTTCTCTTCACCACCAGAGGGCAGCAGAGCGCCAGGTTTTTTTTTACACTGGGTGACTCCATAACTACACTTTGGGCTACTTTCATCTCAAACAACAGACTTTTAAATGGACATGATTTAGTGTGTGCGTGTGTGTTTGTATTTTTCTGTCAGGACTCGAGCTCAGTGGTGGAGTGGGTCAGAGTTCAGGGGAGCGATCCAATCAGCTGCTAGAGTCCCAGCAGAGCTACGAGACCGAGTGGGACATGATCAACGCTGTGTCATTCAAGAAGAAAGCCTGCACCAACGGAGAAAACGGTGAGCTCTTTATCATCAACGAGGAGAAGGAGCGAGGGTTTCCTCTCCGGCTCCTCCTCTTGTCCAAAACGCTACGATGGATAATTAACATAACAAAGGTTGTATTGTTTTTAACACGTGGTATAGAAAGAAGACCAAAGTACCTGGCGTACCTGGTTAATGTGTGTTCTGTTCTCCCTGTTGGCGGTCTCTCAGGCGCTCTGAACCACAGCCATGAGCGGAGCAGGTGGGCGTTCGCCTTCAGCCTCAGTGAGCTGAGCACCATCACCGTGAAGGAGGAAGGTTGGACTGTCATCTTCTTCCAACTGAAGGAGTCGTCCTCGCTGCCTCCTCTGCACTTCCACCAGGGCGGCAGCATCGAGTTCCTGGACTACCTGAGGAGGTTCGCTCTGCTCAGCCAGTGAGTACAGATGATACACCTGTTTGAGTTTGGTCTCCCTGCAGAAACTCAGACAGTTTTACAGATAAAGGACTTCTCTTTAATCTGAACACTAGTGGACTGAAACAACATACTGTACTATACTGTATGGAACACACACACATGGCCAGGACACACACACACGCTGTACGTTCATCTCTGATACACACACACACACAGCACACAGCACACTCATATCCGATACAAACACAGGGCCAGAACATACACTCACAGACATACACATACACACACTCAGCGTGACTCTGTAGCTCGTCACATTTGCAGTGATTTCTATGCTAATTCACGAGATAAACATCATGCAGAGTCTGTGTGTGTGTGTGTGTGTGTGTATCAGAGATGAGAGTACAGCGTGAGAGTACAGCGTGTGTGTGTGTGTCAGAGATGAGAGTACATCGTGTGTGTGTGTGTGTGTGTGTGTGTGTGTGTGTGTGTGTGTGTGTGTGTGTGTGTGTGTGTGTGTGTGTGTGTGTGTGTGTGTGTGTGTGTGTGTGTGTGTGTGTGTGTGTGTGTGTGTGTGTGTGTGTGTGTGTGTGTGTGTGTGTGTGTATCAGAGATGAGCCGACAGCGTGTGTGTGTGTCTCTGCTGATATCTGTTATTAAAGTTCTTATCGAAGCCTTCAGAATAAAAACATTAACAGCCGCCATGTGACTGTGACGTCATGCTGACCGTCTGCCTGCTGATTGGCTTATTCCTCCTCTCTGTTTGTGTGAAAACAAAAACATTCTAAGATGAAAATTTACATACAGATTCAATCAGAGTCTTTTAATCTGTATTTAAATTGACATATTGATTATTAAATAATGATTCTGTTATCCTGTGTCGTTCAGGGAGGGAGGGACTAAAAGGTTAGAGTTGTGTGACGTGTGTTCCAGTGTGTGTGTAACAGTGCGGGTAACAGTGTGTGTTGTGTGTGTGTGCAGGGCTGCAGATGATGGCTCGTGTCTGACGGTCAGTACTCCAAACAAAGCTCTGTCTCAGTCCTTTGAGAACCTGCTGGACGACAACAACTTTGGCCTCGTGAACGTAAGAAAATACACACTCCTCCTTTACTCTCCTCCCCCTGCTGTAGTCTATACACTCCTCCTCCTGCTCAGATTAAACACTCCTCCTCCTCCTCCTCCTCCTCCAGCTCAGGCTATACACTCCTCCTGCTGCTCAGGCTATACACTCCTCCTGCTGCTCAGGTTAAACACTCCTCCTACTGCTCAGGTTAAACACTCCTCCTGCTGCTCAGGTTAAACACTCCTCCTGCTCCTGCTGCTCAGGTTAAACACTCCTCCTGCTGCTCAGGCTAAACACTCCTCCTCCTGCTCAGATTAAACACTCCTCCTGCTCCTGCTGCTCAGGTTAAACACTCCTCCTGCTGCTCAGGTTAAACACTCCTCCTGCTCCTACTGCTCAGGTTAAACACTCCTCCTGCTGCTCAGGTTAAACACTCCTCCTGCTCCTGCTGCTCAGGTTAAACACTCCTCCTGCTGCTCAGGCTAAACACTCCTCCTCCTGCTCAGATTAAACACTCCTCCTGCTCCTGCTGCTCAGGTTAAACACTCCTCCTGCTGCTCAGGTTAAACACTCCTCCTGCTGCTCAGGCTATACACTCCTCCTGCTGCTCAGGTTAAACACGCCTCCTGCTGCTCAGGTTAAACACTCCTCCTGCTGCTCAGGTTAAACACTCCTCCTGCTCCTGCTGCTCAGGTTAAACACTCCTCCTGCTCCTGCTGCTCAGGTTAAACACTCCTCCTGCTCCTGCTGCTCAGGTTAAACACTCCTCCTGCTGCTCAGGCTAAACACTCCTCCTGCTGCTCAGGCTAAACACTCCTCCTCCTGCTCAGATTAAACACTCCTCCTGCTCCTGCTGCTCAGGTTAAACACTCCTCCTGCTGCTCAGGTTAAACACTCCTCCTGCTGCTCAGGTTAAACACTCCTCCTCCTGCTCAGGCTAAACACTCCTCCTGCTGCTCAGATTAAACACTCCTCCTGCTGCTCAGGTTAAACACTCCTCCTCCTGCTCAGGTTAAACCCTCCTCCTCCTGCTCAGGTTAAACACTCCTCCTGCTGCTTAGGTTAAACACTCCTCCTGCTGCTCAGGGTAAACCCTCCTCCTCCTCCTGCAGTTGTAGTCTGAACTGCTTTCTGTTTGTCTCTTGCAGAAGTTTAAGAAGGACCCGTACGTCACCACATTGGGAGGCTTCTCCAAAGTCACCAACTACATCTTTGACGCCTTCCGGGGGACAGAGGAGCAGCACCAGCGCCCCCCAGAGGAGGTGGCCGACCTGCTGGGAGAGGTGATCCCCGGGCTGGAGATCAACCAGCAGGAGGAGCCGGGCTTCGAGGTCATCACCGGGTGAGACAAGGAGGAGACCCCAACATTGTGCTGATGTTTGAAATGAAAGTGGAATAACTCTGACTCTGTGTGTATGTGTTCCGTCAGATTGACCTGGGGGTGAGGCCTCAGGTGACGAGGGTGGGGCCTCTGTCAGTGGAGGACTGGACCAAACACCAGGACCAGGAGGGCAGGATGACCGACGTCTCCCGCCTCAAACGCGCCATCTTTAAAGGGGCATGTTACCGTTTAAAAGTTTATTATCTATTCATTAATAACAATTTTATGAGATAATATTTACAATCTGGGCTGCAGTGCTCGGTGGTACATGGTGTGTGTGTGTGTGTGTGTGTGTGTGTGTGTGTGTGTGTGTGTGTGTGTGTGTGTGTGTGTGTGTGTGTGTGTGAGATTACCCAGCATGCATAGGGGCGGTGTTCTCATGCTGTGTGTGGTGTTCTAACCTGCAGGGTTTATGTCACGCTTTGAGGAAGGAGGCCTGGAAGTTTCTGCTGGGATACTTCCCCTGGGAGAGCACACTGGAGGAGAGGAAGGCCCTGCAGAGGAACAAAACGTAGGCATGATCACACACACACGCACACAAACAAACACATCGACACACAGACACAGACACACACACAAACAATCACATCTACACACACACACACACACAAACAAACACATCTACACACACACACACACACACACACACACACACACACACACACACACACACACACACACAAAAAGCACTGTAACTAAGCTCAGCCGTCAACACGTCTTTGCACGTTCTTGTTGATTCTGTGATGGCGTTGTATTTGTGTCTCAGTCTGTGAGGTCACATTGCGTTTTGGCATTGTGTAAGCATGGCACAGCTGAAGCTCCACGTACACACACAGTCAGACACACACACACACACACACACAGGGATGTTCTCCCCCGCTGTCTCTGCTCTGTAACGTACAGATGGGGGATCATTTCGTCCTCCAATTACGCCGCCACGACATTCAGAGCGAAGGCGAAATGTCACAGTAAATATCAGGGCTTGAAACGGGGGTCTGAACAGGGCTAGTTCAGGAGCAAACTTGTTCTCTAATCATGGTTACCATGGTAACCCCTAATGCCCGCCCATCATGGACCACGAGACGTTTTTCGTCGAGGTCAAGCAGATACAAAAAGGACTGAGGGGGAATATTTACCCTCGGCTGTGCTTTTTAGGTTTCAGGTTGTTTTTGTTGTGATGATGCTGATGTTTGTGTCTCCATGGTAACAGGGATGAGTACTTCAGGATGAAGCTGCAGTGGAAGTCAGTGAGCGCTGAACAGGAGAGAAGAAACTCCAAACTGAGAGACTACAGGAGTCTGATTGGTCAGAGATTAACCCTCTCCTGTCTGTGTCTGTCTGTGGGTCAGAGGTTAACCCTCTCCTGTCTGTGGGTCAGAGGTTAACCCTCTCCTGTCTGTGTCTGTCTGTGGGTCAGAGGTTAACCCTCTCCTGTCTGTGGGTCAGAGGTTAACCCTCTCCTGTCTGTGTCTGTCTGTGGGTCAGAGGTTAACCCCCTCCTGTCTGTGTCTGTCTGTGGGTCAGAGGTTAACCCTCTCCTGTCTGTGTCTGTCTGTGGGTCAGAGGTTAACCCTCTCCTGTCTGTGGGTCAGAGGTTAACCCTCTCCTGTCTGTGTCTGTCTGTGGGTCAGAGGTTAACCCCTCCTGTCTGTGTCTGTCTGTGGGTCAGAGGTTAACCCTCTCCTGTCTGTGTCTGTCTGTGGGTCAGAGGTTAACCCTCTCCTGTCTGTGTCTGTCTGTGGGTCAGAGGTTAACCCTCTCCTGTCTGTTTGTCTTTCAGAGAAAGACGTGAATCGGACCGACAGAACAAACCGCTTTTATGAAGGCATCGATAACCCCGGGCTGGTCCTGCTCCACGACATCCTGATGACCTACTGCATGTTTGACTTTGACCTGGGTCAGTCACCTACTCCTCCTCCTCCTCTATGTCCTCCTCCTCCTCCTCCATGTCTTCCTCCTCCTCTTCCTCTATGTCCTCCTCCTCCTCCTCCATGTCTTCCTCCTCCTCTTCCTCTATGTCCTCCTCCTGCTCCACCTCTATGTCATTCTCCTCCTCCTCCTCTATGTCCTCCTCCTCCTTCTCCACCTCTATGTCCTCCTCCTCCTCCTCTATGTCCTCCTCTTCTATTTCCTCCTCCTCTATGTCCTTCTCCTCCTCCTCTATGTCCTCCTCTATGCCCTCCTCCTCCTCCTCCTCCACCTCTATGTCCTCCTCCTCCTCTATGTCCTCCTCCACCTCTATGTCCTCCTCCACCTCTATGTCCTCCTCCTCCTCTATGTCCTCCTCCTCCTCCTCCTCCTCTTCCTCTATGTCCTCCTCCTGCTCCTTCTCTCTTTGATAAAATACACAATAACTGATCTGATGGGTGTCCCTCCTCCTCCTCAGGCTATGTGCAGGGTATGAGCGACTTGCTGTCTCCAATCCTCTACGTGATGGAGAACGAGGTGGACGCCTTCTGGTGCTTCGTCTACTTCATGGACCAGATGGTGAGAAAACAGACTACACACAGACGTGTGTGTCTGTATATATGTGTGTGTGTTTGTGAACATTGCCAATGTACATACAGTAAGTGTCTTTGACATGACAACAAAAAACGAAACTAAATGACATTCGTTAGGACACTTTCTGTCTCCAACATCTGCTGTTAGTATGGTAACCACAGACACACTCAGCCAAAAGTCACCAGTTAACAAGGTCACTTTTTAAACCATAACACCAACATCAACAAACATCAAGCAGCATTTCCCAATAAAAGCACCCGGGGCAGAGATGTTATTCAATAATTTCTCTGAAGGACAGGGCGCGCTGTCCTCTCGCTCAGGTTGATGAGCCATCTGACCACGTAAGAGCGAGGTGTGCCCAGCTCCGGGTGTCGATGTTTTTACTCGTATCTTATGGAAGTTTAAATTTAGGTATTTAACTGTGTTGTTGTATTTCAGCACCAGAACTTTGAGGAGCAGATGCAGGGCATGAAGACTCAGCTGATCCAGCTCAGCTCTCTGCTCAGACTGCTCGATGTCTCCTTCTGGAACTACCTCGGTAAGAAACACAGTTTGCTCTGTGATGATGTAACGATGTTACAGGACGTCTGTTTTCACATAATCCAGTTCAAACAAATCTAAAATAAAAATGATTCCAGCTGCAGACTTCGTTCTTCATGCAGCTGTGAGCGAACACTTTGATGTCTTACAGCGGTCAGCGGTGTGATGTCATAAGAGCTGCAGGACGTGCTGACACGCTGCTGTGGTCGATCAACTTTGCTGAACTTGATAAAAATTGTCTTGCTGGACGACAGTTTAAACCTTTTTTTTGTCTTTGGGAGATCTCCAAAATCAGACTGCGACTTATATCCTGGATTTTATGCTACATCCATGAAGAGTTTCTGCTACCCCTCTTAAAGATAGCAGCTGCGTTGACGCATCTAACAAGCCCGAAAGCGTCATCAGAGCGTAGATATCTGTCCACAGTAACCGCAGAGCAGCTCCTCTGAATGTAAAGTTAATTAAAAGTATTCAGAGCTCCAGGCGGAGGCGGAGGGATACAGAGTGAAAAGTCCCAGTAATGTGGTTTTCCTCTTGTTGTCCAATCAGAATGCTTGTTGATGTTTTTATCAGCAGTCAGCTGCAGGTGCAGAACAGTAAGATATAAGTAGTGAGCATTAATGTGATGAATAATAACTAGTACACCTGTGTGATGTGATTGGTTCACAGAGTCTCAGGATTCAGGCTACCTGTACTTCTGTTTCCGATGGTTACTGATCAGATTCAAGAGAGAGCTCAGCTTCCAGGACGTGCTGCGACTGTGGGAGGTCAGTCACTCTTTCATCGGTCCCCCTGCTGTGTGAAGTACCTGTGTGTACCTGTGTACCGGTCTTTACCTGTGTGTGTATGTGTGTGTGTGCTGTCTCCAGGTGATGTGGACCGGGCTGCCCTGTCAGAACTTCCACCTGCTGGTCTGCTGTGCCATCCTGGACTCTGAGAAACACAAGATCATGGAGGAGAACTACGGCTTCAACGAGATCCTCAAGGTGACTCTACTCTGTTCTCCTAAATTGGTTTTACATCAGGGACCCAGGTCCAGATCAGAGTACACCTGACCCCAAAGTCCTGTTCATTTGACCAGTGTGAACTAGGGCTGGCCGATAGGTATTGAAGGCCATTTTGGCGACATTTAGAAGATGTTTCAGACCCCTGGCTCCAGAGATGGTCACTGATGGTGTCCAGAGGTCAGTCGGTGGAGGTGAGACGGCGAGCAGCCACAGGAGGACTGCTAACGTTAGCCGACATCTCCATAATCAGTCATGGATCATATTTTAAATGTAGAGATGTCGAGTTCTCCTCAGACACCCTGCTGTATCTCTGTCCATATTCTGTCACTGAGGACTAGTTTAGAACTGAATCTTATATAGTATTTTAAAAAGAAGTCGTAACATCATGAGATATTTTCATTTGTTTTGAATGAAAAGGAGACCGGAGACGAGAGGTTTAGTCTAACCAATTACAGTAACTAAGGAGCATGGGAATGGCACCGTGCTCAAACAAGGAAGTGGGGTGCAAGTTGCAGTCAGCGAGTAGAGTGCTGCTCTGGCTCATCTCCTCCTCTGAGCTGCAAGTCGTTTTTAACGTCTCATGAATAACTAAAACATCCACAGTTAGCAGGATGGACTTCATTGTCTGCACGAGACTCAAACAAATGTCGCCCAGTTGATCATGAGAGTTGTTGCCATGGTTACTTTCTGCTTTTTGGCGGATTTGCAAACCAACTATGTGCATAGCGCCATCTGCTGTTTTGTAACTTTGTACATACGTAGATGTACTCGATTACAGAGCGGAGGTGGGGGGGTATGGCGCCTAATATGAAAACGCCCTTTAAGAGGTCATATTATGCCCTTTTTGGGGTTTGTATATTTAATCTACTGTATGTACCTACTAAAGTATGTTCACAATAGCTAAATTTAAAAAAAAGTGTCTGTTTTCATGTACTGTCGCTCCATGCACTGGCTCGCTTCTGACTCTCTCTCTAAGGCTCTGAAGTGCCCACATTCAGAGTCCCCACGTGTGCCAAGTCTGATCTGATTGGTTGGCCTGTCAGCTCTGCTGTAATTGGTCAGTGGCTCAGCACGGTTCTCGGAAATGTCACGCCCCTTTTACCATATTGGGAATGCAGCCACTTTGGCTCCGAGCAGAGCAAAAACATTAGCACCTTAGCACTACTGTGCTACCGCAGGCTACGGCATATTGTAGGCGTGCTAAAGAAGTTAATGGGCGTGCAACATGAGCTGCAGGGCTTGCCACAACGAGTCAATGGGCTTAGATCAGTGATCTCACACTGACAAGACGTCACACTGGCAAATTTTTTTCGAGGGGGGCTAGAACCGAGCGTTACATGCAACTAATGCTACAGCTAACAGGAGGACGTAGGCGAAGCCGCGGACTTTGAATTTTTGCACATAGATGTGCCTAAACATGCACAGGATACATGGAAAACACGCTAAAGAGCATATAAAACCAGAAAAAGCATAATAAGACCCCTTTAATGAGGAGGAGGAGGACGACCACTCCTGTCTGATTGGATCGCAGTGTTGTCTGCGTCTGGTTGTGTTTCTGTTCTTCATTAGAGTCAGAGATGATGATCTTCTCTCATCAGCACATCGTTCTTTAACATATTTAACCCTTCACACTCCTCAGACTTTTTTCCAGAAAGTTCTCAAACATCCATCACGTTCTGCGTGTCCTAAAAGACACTAGTACGAGCTTTTCTGCCACTCAAAATAATAACAGATGACGACCTCGCTGTTTAGCAGGCTGAGAGATGTCATCAAAGTGATGTTTGTGTGTTTTTGTTACAGCATATAAACGAGCTCTCAATGAAGCTGGACATCGAAGAAATCCTGCAGAAGTCGGAGGGGATCTGTCTGCAGATCAAGAGCTGTAAGGTGCGTTCAGAGACCCTTCGTTCTTACACTAATCCAGGACACATAACTGCACGGGTTCAGTCCATGTTTGCTTTAACTCACATGAAAATAAAGATGAAATGAACAAAGCTTCACATCGCTCTCTACCAAACCATCTTCACTAAATCACTGTTTTTAATCAAGAGTTATTGAAGCTTTAGTTACAGGAAAACTGTTTTTATTCAGCTCCGTCATATAAACATGTTTCTGACCTGTCATTACTCCCCCTCCTCATTCTCCTCTCCCCCTCCTCCCATCTCCCATCTTAACCGCTACTTCTTATTCTCCTCTTCTCTCCTTTTCCTCTGTCTACCTTCCGAACCTCCTCATCCACTACTTCCGTCTCTTCCTTTCCTCCTCTCCTCTCTCTCTCCTCCTCCAGGACCTCCCTCATGCGGTCAGTGTGATCCTGGGCTTCGACTCCAGCGTTGGCATCTCTGAGTCGTCGGCTGGCGCCTCATCTCCCTCTGTCGGAGCGTCTCTGCGAACGGACGCCTGCTCTAACGGACACTTGAGAGAAACAAGCTCTCACACCAACAGTTGTAAAGTGGCCTTCATATCGTAGTGAACAGAGACTGACTGAGGTGTCAGAGGAGGGGGGCCGACCCCCATCCCCTCCAGTCAGGAGGAGGAAAATGTATAAAAGGAATTGAGATTATTAAGAATCTTATTTTTGTAATTTCTTGTACCATATTGTCTCTTTGATTCAGTCATTCCTTCTCTGCTGATGATGCTCTCCATACTCCATCAGAAGGGGGGGGGGGGGCATTATTATGTGTCTGGACAGGAGAAGCTAACAGGAGAGGCTAACAGGAGAAGCTGAGACAGAAAGCAGTGTTATGAATCTTTCTTCTGAAAATGATTCATAAGTCTTCACAATAAAGAGCTGGTGTTCAATCATAATGCGACACTTCATGCTTATTCAGAGAAAATCTCTCAGCCAGAATCAGGGCTGTCGTGTTATCAGAATGTTAAACTTGGAGATGATTCAAATGTACAAATCAAGCAGTATTGATAACCTGTTGTAGTGTCTGTTTAGCTGTAAGTAATTAGAAACTTTAAAGGACCGAGCATAGAACCCTGAGGAACCCCACGGATCATCCAACACTACAAACAGGATGTAAGCGGCCTCAGTCTCCTCAGTTGATTTGTTTTTATGATTCCCCAGCAAAACTGACTGAACTGTTGATGTACGGTCGTCACAGTAATGTGGTCGGGGTAATATTGGCGCCCCAGTCTGTGAATTCACATTGAGTTTTAGAAGCACGGCAATGTGGGAGCTCCACATACACACACAGCGCTGTGCTCCCCCTCTTGCTCTGCTAAAACCATCTCCCCTCAGTAACACCTCTGTTACTACCTCTAAAGACGTGCAGTGGAGGGATCCCTTTGTTCCCCCATTACGTCCCTGCGACATTCGGATTGAAGGCGAAACGTCACAGGGGCGTAAATATGAAACCTCTGGTCTAAATAGGGTTCTATGAACTTCATTAATGTGTCACTCCGCAGAAATTCTGATTTATTACAATCATATAGAAATTGTCTTTAAATCACGTTTCTACTGTGGGGGTTATTAGAGTAATTACTGATTAGTACCACAGCTGTGACGTTAAGGTAACCCCCCCCCCGATGGAGCAACAGGTGGGCGAAGCCTCATGTGGCAACCCTGTGACGAGGTTTCCGGTCCATGATGAGGATTTTATTTACAGCCCAGCCCATCACACACATCATTATTATCATTATTATTATTATCATCATATTTCTTTACATAACCCTCTCGAGTGTCGATCAGCTGATTGGTGCTGGATTAAGTTGAGTTGTGTTTTTATGAAGTGATCTCATTGGAGGTCAAGTTTTGTTTCTCGTTGGGAGTTAAATGAGGAGTTCTCAGGTTTAATCTCCACCATCAGATTGATTTATTAGCGTTTAAAATGTATTACCATTGTTTGTCACGTCGCTCAGAACCAAAGTCAATAAAGTTTTTTAACCAATTGCTCAAATTTAAACTCCAGAAAGTTTGTTTCCGTCCTGCTTAATCGAACTTTTATTTTATGATCTTGCTGCTCAAATATTGTGATGCTAACATGGCACACCAACAATGCTAATCTTGCTAACACTGCTAACACCGTTGTTCTGACGGCCAAACGTTTTTATAAAACTCTGCTCACATTTACCTCCCAATGACTGTGTAGTTACCATGGATACCACAGGGCATTATGCGGGAGGTGTGGATAACTGCCAGCCCTAACCTGTTTCCTGTGGCTCCTTCACAATAAAAGTGTTATTAGGTGAAGCAGCAGGAGGAGATGTAGTGTTAGCAATAGCGGTGAGCTGTTCAGTGTATAACTGTGACAGGTAGAGATCAGATCATAACTTTAATCTCCTCATGTATCTCCTGATGAGAAAACAAAGAGAATCACAGGTTAATGATCACAGTATGTTATTATAAAGTCATGAGAAGATGGTCACTTTAAAGTCTCAGAGCAGATAAAATAATATATAATGTTGTGGATTCAAGCTGAACTCTGCTTCATCTTTATGTTCCTGTTCCAGATCATTTAAATCTGATTCCCGCTCTTAATGTCATCGACTCAACGTTCGGGCAATAAAACGATTTCACTTTGACTCATAAACAACACAGGGCTGTCATGATACTTGAACTTTTAAACTTTGAGATGATTCTGGTTCAAATCAAACAGCACTGATACCTGTTACAGTCTTAGCTGTAACTAAAAAGAAGCTATAGAGGACCGAGAATAGAACCCTGAGGAACCCCACGGATCATGCTAACACTATAAAGAGGTTGTAAGCTGCTACAGTCCCATCAGTCTCTGTTTTTATGATCCCACAGCAAAACTGAGTGAACTGTTGATGTATTGTTTTCACAATATAAGAATCTTCAACTTCAATCTGATATTGATCGACAGAAATAGAAGTCCTACACAAAACCCCTGATTTTGCTTTTTAAGACAGCATGCCGACCTACTGCACAGCTGGTACGCACACAAGCGTCTTTCTTCCGATGTTAAAGTGTCTTTAATCTGCAAACTAATCGACACAAAATGCATGAGCTGACTTTATTTGTTAAAACATGAAGCTACATCCCCACCCTCTCTTTACACCGCAGGTCACACCTACACATGCACAGACTGATGGTAGAGGCTGCTGAGTAGAGTCCATCAGTAATAACTCATCCATACACACACACTCGTGCCGCCAATGAAGAAGCAGGAGCAACTTGCTCAAGGACACATTGGACACATGGCTGCAAGAGCTGGGGATTGAACCCCTGACCTTCCAGTTGAAAGGCGTCCAACTCTACCAACTGATCCACAGCCTCCCTAGTAGCAGGGGGCTCGAAGTGAGTAAGGTTGGGGACCACAGCTCTAATGCACAGGTATAAGGTTAAAATGTAGGTGACGGGTCACAATGCCAGAATTTTAAACTTTGACATGATTGTAGTTCAAATCAAACCATACTAAGTCCTACATAATATGGGGTACTCCTGCACGCTGTCTGAAAAACACAAACATGTTGGAAATGTTTCTGCACACTAATGTGACCAAACCCTGTGCGGACATAAACAATGTTAAATGTTGTTAAAACAGGAATAACTAAAAATAAAATGTTTTTTATTGACGGCTGAGCAGAGACAGACGAGCATGCGGAGCTGCTTTTCATCTTTAATTCATTCATGAATCTGCAGAAATGTCAGAGCTGCAGCTAAACGGATCCAAATGTCATTTCAGCTGCTCTCATCTGCATGATGGACGTCTTCCCCCTCGTCCTCCTCCCCCCTTTGATGGGAGGCTTTTGGCGTTGGAGGTAGAGGAGATGGAGGGAGGTATCACCTGCAATCTGCTCATAAAGCTGCTTCAGAGTCAGAACAAAGCCGCCTCACCGCTCTTTCATTTCCTGTCAGGCAGGAAATTGTCTGAGCTCTCCCGGCTGATAGCACGTCGCCCGTTGCCTGCCGCCACTAATCAGCTAACCATCTCTGCAGGTTTTATTGAGGTGGAGGCTGTTGTGGGTTTGATGGCGGACTGTCATTCATGGTGAGGCTGCACAGAAACGCTTCAGCTAATTATAGAAAGACGAGGAAACACAGAGCTGTTGATGAGATCACAGACTCTCAGTTCCTGTCACAACGCTTGTCATAGCACCAAACTTTGATATGAGAACTCAAACAACATTGATACCTGCTCGTTACCACGGCAACCAAATAGAAGTCCCAGGTTGTGTCAGAAACCATTCATAATAAATATGGCGCCACATTGAGTACAAAGTTCGATCAGAAATCATAGAATGGAATATGAAAAAAAAGATAAATACCTGGATGCAGCAAAGGGCAGAGGTTGGATGTGAACCTGCGGCCGCTGCAATGAGGACTGTAGCCTCTGTACATGAGGTGCACAACACAACCGCTAGGCTTTTGGCGACCCGACTATCCAACCGCAATGCTGGCCGTGGCTATACCAATAAAAATAACTGTAACAAAATACTTTTTACGTGTGGCCAAATAATATTAAAATGACCACGTAGCTGAATTCATAATTTACAGACCGACAGTTGTGTTAGCTTGATGCTAACTCATCCAACATGTTTCATACAGATGTTTCGTACAGATGTTTTGTATTCCTCGATGCTTTCTCTCACTCTTAAGTAAAAATCTGACTGAAGATCTGAAGCTTTCTCAAAGTTTTGGTCCTTTTTGAAACCTTCGGTCATGGAAGCCCTGAGTGGACATAAAATGTTACTTTTTATTTGACTCGAGTAAACTCCTGCAGCTTTCCTGAAACCTTGACATGTTTATCTTGGAAAACCGCGTTGTTATTCAGAGTTCAGGAGAGAAATACAAGGAATATTGAGAAAACAACAGACAAGTCCCAGGATAAGAAGACGATGAAAAAGGTTAGATCTCGTTTCCTCGTTCCTGTTTGTTTGTCCGCTCAGGGCTTCCGTACTGTTTTGTGTAAAAATGTTCTCTCTGAACCTCATGGTTGTTAAAGCCTGCAGAGAGGGGACGTCTGCTGAGGGGGGAGGAGCCTCCCCTCCCCAGCCTCCTCCCCCCTGTGTGTCTCAGTATATATCTCCAGACTCGGGGGGGAGACTGCGTCCGTCTGTGTCTCTCTCCGTTCCTTTAGGTGTGTGTCTGAGCAGGTGCAGACCTGGAGCCGTGGTACTCGTACACTCATTGGTTCCCCATGGCCTCGTCCCATGTGATGAAGGACGGGCCCCCCCCGGGCCCCCCGCCCAAGATGCAGCCCGCCATGATGATGTTCTCCAGCAAGTACTGGTCCAGAAGGGGGATGTCGCTCGACTCCGCCATGTTCCAGCAGCAACGCCACACGGGCGGGCAGATGGTGAGGACGCACTCTCTTCTTCATCTCCATCACCTTCCCTCTCCTCCTCCTCCTCCTCCTGCTCCTCTTCCTCCTCCTCCTCTTCCTCATCCTCGTCCTCGTCCTCGTCCTCGTCCTCCTCTTCCTCCTCCTCTTCCTCCTCCTCCTCCTCCTCTCTCTTCCTCCTCCTCGTCTTCCTTGTCCTCGTCCTCGTCCTTGTCCTCGTCCTCCTCCTCTCTCTTCCTCCTCCTCGTCTTCCTCGTCCTCCTCTTCCTCCTCCTCTTCCTCCTCCTCCTCCTCCTCCTCTTCCTCCTCTCTCTTCCTCCTCCTCCTCCGCTTCCGCTTCCTCTTCCTCTTCCTCCTCCTCGTCTCTCTTCCTCGCTCCTCCTCCTCCTCCTCCTCTTCCTCTTCCTCCTGTGTGTTTTGGATGATGTGGAAACTGAGTCTGACGAGGAGTTGGCTCGTTTAAACTTGTGATGTCATGTCAGCATTACAAGTTTATTTATGTTTCACATTTTATAAACACAATTCTAATTTCAGTCTACATAAACATCTTGAAAATCATCACAAAGATGGTCAGAAAAGAGAATCACCATGTTCGATTACTTTATTAAATCTGAAACTATCAAAATAAAAACAATTAATTGTTGTACATTGTATATGTTTACTGTTGTTGTTGTTGTTGTTGTTGTGGTCCAGTCTCGGCGTCAGTCCTTCTGTCCCATTAAAGAGAAGCCGGACTCGGAGGGAGCAGCAGAGGATTCTGGGAAAACGGCGGTGATCTTTTCTCTGAAGAACGAGGTGGGCTGTTTGGTCCGAGCGCTCCGAGTCTTCCAGGTGAGATCACACCTGATCAAACTTCAAATGTTCAGTTCAAATAATGATGAGAAATGTTTTATCAGCCTGTGAGGAGTCACATCATGGACCTTTCCTCCTCCCCGCTCCTCTCTTCTCCTCGTCTAATCTACTCCTCTCCTCTCCTCTCCTCTCCTCTTCTTTCCTCCTTTCCTCTTTTCTTCTCCTCTCCTTCTATCCTCTCCTCCCTTCCTCTCCTGCCCTCATTTCCTCTTTTCCTCACCTCTCCTCATCTCGTCTACTCTCCTCTCCTACTCTCCTCTCCTCTCCTTCTCTCCTCTTTCTCTCCTCCCCCTCCTTTCCTTGTCTCCTGTCCTCCCTTCCTTTCTTCATCTTCTCCTCATCTCCTCCCACCTGCAGGAGAAACGAGTGAACCTGAACCACATTGAGTCTCGAGTGTCTCGGCGAGTCCTGGGCGAGGTGGAGATCTTTGCCGACTGCAGCTGCAGCAAGAAGGAGTTCAACGAGCTGCTGCAGATCCTAAGAGACCACGTCAACATCGTGTCCTTTAACACAGCTGAACACACCTGGTCTGCTGAGGCAGGTAAACTCACCTGAGCTGTTACCCTTCACAACCATCTCCATGTCAACAAACAAACAAATGGATGTGCTTGTGTTTTTCTGGTTTTGTGTCCTCAGATGAAGATGAGGTTCCCTGGTTCCCCATGAAGATCTCTGAGTTGGATCAGTGTTCTCACAGAGTTCTGATGTACGGATCGGAGCTGGACGCTGACCATCCTGTAAGTGTAATACTGCTAACATCCACCGGGGGGGGGGGGGGGGGCTGACCATCCTGTAAGTGTAATACTGTTAACATCCACCAGGGGGGGCTGACCATCCTGTAAGTGTACTACTGCTAACATCCACCAGGGGGGCGCCGACCATCCTGTAAATGCAATACTGCTAACATCCACCAGGGGGGGCTGACCATCCTGTAAGTGTAATACTGCTAACATCCACCAGGGGGCGCCGACCATCCTGTAAATGCAATACTGCTAGCATCCACCAGTGGGAGCTAACCATCCTGTAAGTGTAATACTGCTAACCTCCACCGGGGGGGGGGGGGCTGACCATCCTGTAAGTGTAATACCGTTAACATCCACCAGTGGGAGCTAACAATCCTGTAAGTGTAATACTGCTAACCTCCATCAGGGGGCGCTGACCATCCTATAAGTGTAATACTGCTACCTTCCACTGGGGGGGGGGCCTACCATCCTGTAAGTGTAATACTGCTAACTTCCACCAGGGGGCAGCAGCTGAGGTCACCAGGTGTTTTATGTTTCCTGTTAGGGTTTTAAGGACGAAGTTTACCGTCAGAGGAGGAAATACTTCGTGGAGGTGGCCATGAATTATAAATTGTGAGTATCATCATGTTTCTGACTCTGAAGGCTCTGATGGACTTGAGTATCCTGGTTCTGATCCGGTCTTTAAAGTATCC